CAGCAGCAGCAAGACGAGCAGGCTATGGCAGAGCAGCAGCAACACCATGAAGACAACCAAGCAGCAGAAGCTGCTGCACCTTTAGCTGCTGCTGCTTCCCCAACAATAAAGGTGCTTCTTATCTAACCACCATAAACACAATAGCCAGCAGCAGCAGCAGCAGCAGCAGCAGCAGCAGCAGCAAGAACTGCAGCTTGTTTCTGTGTACGCAGGAGGAGACACAAGCCCGACCCCAAGAAGCTGCTGCAGCTGCTGCAGCCTCTCCTAGGAGGCAGCAGCTGTTCAGACGGCAACACAAACATCATAAGCAGCAGCAGCAGCAGCAGGAGCTGAAGCAGCAGCAGCAACAGCAGCAACAGCAGCTGCAGCAACAACAGCAGCTGCAGCAGCAACAGGAGCAGCAGCAGCTCCAAGACCATAGACAAGACCAGTGGTCCGGAAAGGATGTGCAAAATAGTGAAGCATTAGCGGGGGCATTAGACCAGCTGCAACAGCAGCAGCAGCAACAGCAGCAGCAACAGCAGCAGCAGCAACAGCAGCAGCAGCAACNGACCAGCTGCAACAGCAGCAGCAGCAACAGCAGCAGCAACAGCAGCAGCAGCAACAGCAGCAGCAGCAACCGCAGCAGCAGCAGAGAGAACAGCAACAGCAGGAGCAGCGAAAAGAGGAGCAGCAGCGATTGCCACAGCAAGACGAGCAGCAGCAAGATAATCAGCAGCAAGATCTGCAGCAGCAGCAACAGCAACAGCAGCAGCAACAGCAACAGCAGCAGCAGCAAGAGCAGCAGCAGCAGCAGCAGCAGCAGCAAAACCAAGCCCAACATCGGAGGCTGCATCACGTCGGGAGGGTCCGCAACCCCACAAACGTGGGGTCGTTTGTTGCAGTAAAAAACAGCAGCAGCAGCAGCAGCAGCAGCAGCAAAGACAACAGCAGCAGAAACAGCAGCAAACGCCGCAGGACCAAAGGCCCGAGGAGCCCTCCGCTGCAGCAGCAATGGCAGGATGAGCAGCAGCTGCAGCAGCAGCAGCAACAGCAGCAGCTGCATCAACAGCAGCAGCAGCAGCAGCAGCAGCAACAGCAGCAACAACAGCAGCTGCATCACCCAAGGTGGCGAAACACTATCATCATCCACCGTCCCTTCGGGCATACTCAGCAGCAACAGCGGCAGCAGCAACAGCAGCAGCAGCAGCAGCAACAGCAGCAGCAGCAGCAGCAGCAACTGCAGCAGCAGCAACTGCAGCAGCAGCAACTGCAGCAGCAGCAACAGCAGCGGCAGCAGCAGCACCACCACCACCACATTCATCTACCGCTGCTGCGGCGACAGAAGGCTCTTCAAGCAGTGGCTTTACACCCACAGCAGCAGCAGCAGCAACAGCAGCTACAGCAGCAGCAGCAGCAGCAACAGGATGAGTCACCGCAGGCATTCGCCGTTTTCTCTTCTCCTCTGCATGAGGAGATTCCGCAGCAAATGCCGTACGCAATCGAGCAGCAGCAGCAGCAGCAAAAGCAGCAGCAGCAGCAGCAGCAGCAGCAGCAGCAACTACGAGCAGCAGCTGATCAGCAGCTCACGCTGCAGTCCCCTCGCTTGTCTCTGCTCGAGCGCCAGGCCTCGTTGATGCAGCGGCACCGGGAGGAGCAAGAGGCTCGTCGGCAGCAGCAGCAGCAGCAGCAGCAACAGCAGCAGCAGCAGCAGCAGCAGCAGCAAATGAAGTACAGAAGAAGCTCAGGAAGCCAGCAGCGGCTGCTTGCTGTAGCCCCACAGACAGCCCGCCGCAGCTCAGAGGATCTTAGGCTCTCGCTGCCGCGGCGTCAGCTGCTGCAGCAGCTGCAGCAGGTGCAGCAGCAGCAGCAGGAGCAGCACGAGGCGTTGCTGCAGCAGCAACAAAAACTGATGCAGCAACAAGAGCAGCGACAGCAGCAGCAGAACCAGCAGCAAATACTGCAGCAACAGCAGGCAGCACAAAGCCTGCAACAGCAACACGCGCTGCAGCAGGCTGAGCAGGGGCAGCAGCAGCTGCTGCACGAGGAAGAGGGGCAGCAACCAGAACAGCAGCAGCACCAAGACCAACAGCACCAACAGCAGCAGCAGCAGCAGCAGCAGCAGCAGCAGCAGCGGTGCTGGTCCTTCGAAGCTGCAGCAGGAACACCCCGCAGCCTCTATAGCGTCCCCTCGTCTCCGCGTTTGTCTCTCGTAGAGAGACAGTCGTTGCTTATAGTTCAGCAGAAGCAGCAGCAGCTGCGGCAGCAGCTGCTGCAGCTGCAGCAGCAACAGCTGCTGCTGCAGCAGCAGCAAAAACAAATCAGAAAAGCTCACTCCAGTCGTCATCTAACCAAACAAGGCAGCCCTGTGCTGTCCCGTTTCTCCTCTGCATCCTCTCCCTCGCTGCAGCAGCAGCAGCAGCAGCAGCAGCAACTGCTGAGATCCTACAACAGCCTGCCATCGCAGCAGCAGCACCGACAGCAACAGCAGCAGCAGCAGCAGCAGCAGCAGCAGCAGCCTCGAAAAGCCTTAACATTCCCTGGGTCCCCTTCCTCCGATAGAGTCTCTCTCGTAGAGAGACAAATTTATTTGCTGCAGCGGCAGCGGGAGGAGCGGCTGCAGCAGCAGCAGCGCAAGCGTGAGCAGGAGCTGCTGCAGCAGCAGCGTCAGCAGCAGCAGCAGCAGCAGCTGCAGCAGCAGCTGCAGCAATACGCTCTACGCAGGCCCACCAACTCATACTTAGCCCTCGCTAGAGCATCAGCAGCAACTATCAAGAGAGCACGAGAGGCTGGTGCTGCAGCACTGAAAGCAGCAGAAGCAGCAGCAGCCCGCCGCCTAACTGCCCAGCAGCAACCGCAGCAGCAGCAGCAGCAGCAGCAGCAACAGCAGCAGCAGCAGCAGCAGCAGTTACTGTCGAGGCAAGGATCAGCTGCTGCGCCGGGGATGCGTGAAGATCTCACCAGAAGTAACAGCAGCAGCAGCTGCTGCCACTGCAACAGCAATACTAGCTGTTCAGCAGCAGCAGCAGCAGCAGGTCAGACAGAGGAGGCCCCAGCAGCAGCAGCAGCAACACCAGCAACACCAGCAGCAGCAGCAGCAGCAGCAGCAGCAGCAAGTGCTGATGACCGCACCCCGCTGCTGAGCGCGCGGTCCACCCCACAAGAAGGAGACAGCCCCGTCACTCCCCGCGGAGACAGTCCCCCCTGTCTGCATGCGCAGCAGCAGCAGCAGCAGCAGCAGCAGCAGCAGCAGCAGCAAGGACAACAGCAAGCAGAACAGCTGCAACAGCAGACGCCTTACCAGCGTCTGCAGCAACAGCAGCAGCAACAGCAGCAGCTGCTGCTGCAGCAGCTGGGTGCTGCAGCAAACACTCCCGCCTGCAGCGTTGAGGACGTCTTCGGAGCAGCAGCAACTGCTGCCACTGTATCAGCGTCTGTTGCTGCTGCAGCAGCAGCAGCTGCAGCAGCTGCTGCTTCGCCTAACGTCGCACAGCAGCAAGAAGCA